AGTGATTAACACTTGGAATTTAGTGCCACAGGAAGTGGTGGCGGCTACAAGCATGGACGGCTTCAAAAGGGAATTAGATAAGCATAAGGAGCAGAGGTCCATCAGTGGCTATTAGCCACAAGGTATAGGTAGGGACTCTGGGGCAAGTGATGGGCAAGTCTTCTTGGTGCTTGGGGGGGGGCAACAGTGGGAGGGCTTCTAATGTCCTGGCCCCACTGGTGGACCTCCTGATGGCACCTGGTATTTCTGGCCACTGTGTGACAGAGAGTGTTGGACTGGATGGGCCTTTGGCCTGATCCAACATTGGCATCTCTTATGTTCTTAATATAGTTAGAGAATTCTGACATAAGCAAAGCAAAGTCCAACATAATCATATCCTCAATGAGCACACCAGTTTTTGCAGTCAATTTCTAGTAGCAAGAAATGCTGAAACGCTACTCCCTAGCTACTAGCCAACAATGTGAAACGGAGAGCAAATGCCAGCCAATTCAAAGTAGGCCTGTTGCCACATTAAAATTTTGGACTGTCTGCTACGACTAGAAATTTAGCCATTGGCTTGCTCCTATTCAAGTACTTGCAATGGAACTGAAAGTAAGTCTAAAACTATTCTAGTTAGAAACGATAACTAAATGATTCCATTCAGCTTCATGTCTTGTTCCGCTCCTTATAACGATGCTTTTTACACGATCATTTGACAAAGAAGAAAATAAGAAGCTATATTGCTTTTAAAAAAGAAACTAAGCTGAACCTAGAGGTTGACACCGTCCAACTTTATAAGACGACTCATGAGGAAGATTGGGGAAATGAGGGCTTTGCTTTGCTTATGTCAGAATTCTCTAACTATATTGTCAGATTAATAGCTTCACCGATTGATGCTCACAGAATCATTAAATGTGTCATTGTTAATTTTATCACAGTGGTTTTTTTGTTTGTTGTAATGAAGCGGTGGCTCAATTGGTTAAGACGCTGAACTGCAGGCTGGGGAAGGTCGGTAGTTCGGCAGTTCGAGACCCGGGTGCCGCATGACGGAGTGAGCTCCCATCTCTAGTTCCAGCTCCTGCCAACCTAGCAGTTCGAAAGCAAGAAATTGCAAGTAGATAAATAGGTACCACTTCGGTGGGAAGGTAACAGCATTCCGTGCGCCTTGGTGTTTAGTCATGCCAGCTACATGACCACGGGAAAAGTCTTCGGACAGCGCTGGCTCTTCGGCTTGGAAACGGAGATGAACACTGCAACCCTAGAGTCGGACTCGACTGGCTTTCGAGCAAGGGAACCTTTACCTTTACCTTTAATAAAGGGGGTGGCACCCGCCCCTCTCGCTCCCCTTCTTCAAAGGGCCCTTCAGCTGATCAGCACATGATCCCCACTAATCAGCTGAAGGGCCCCTTAAACCTTACAGGAGGGGAGGGAGAGGGGTGCGTGCTATTCCTGCTTCTTCTCAAAAGCATTTAAAAGATCCCTTTACATGCTTTTGGGAAGAAGTGGGGGGGCCTTTAAGAAATGGGGGCCCTTTAAGGAAGGGGCTGGCCCTTTAAGAAAGGGGCAGAGCCCCAATAGCCCCACCCTAGCTACGGGCCAGAACATGGGACACTCTGGTATTTGCACAAAAACTCTATGATGGATTCCTTTCTTACCATAGAGGCTTTGCCCAAATAACAGAGTGTCCCACTTCTCAGATGACGTGATGGCATCACATCTAGTCCACACCAGAAGTGACATTACCACATTGCTGGTGACATCTCTGTAATGCTGGCCTAGGCCTACCCCCACCGATGGGAAGTGTCCCCGCCAACCAGCTGATTGGTGGCAGGGGGTGGCAGTCGGGGGCGGGACAGCGAGGGCCTGGTTCTTTTCGGCACAACTGTGGTACTGACAGGAAGCCCAAATGTCACCCAAATAACCTTCAGGCACTTTTGATACTGACTGATTGAGAGGTAAAAAGGTAAAGGTTCCCTTGCTCGAAAGCCAGTCGAATCCGACTCTAGGGTTGCGGTGCTCATCTCCGTTTCAAAGCTGAAGAGCCAGCGCTGTCCGAAGACGTTTCCGTGGTCATGTGGCCGGCATGACTAAACACCAAGGCGCACGGAACGCTGTTACCTTCCCACTGAAGTGGTCCCTAATTATCTACTTTCAATCTCTTTCTTTCGAACTGCTAGGTTGGCAGGAGCTGAAACTAGAGAAGGGAGCTCACTCCGTTACGCGGCACACTGGGGTCTCGAACTGCTGAACTACCAACCTTCCACAGCTTGCAGTTCAGCGTCTTAACCACTTGAGCCACCGCAGCTCCTATGATTGAGAGGTATTTGCTGCCAAATTGGTAGCAGCCATGACATGGATTTTCTTTTAAATTTTGTCTTATTTGGGAATGTGATTGTAGTCCATCGGGGACTATATAACAAACATGAGAATATCACAGTGTCATAGAGCCCAGTCAGATTATGCTACATGCCAATTCAGAGTGAGGTCAGTGCCTTCTGCCCACCCTCTCAATGGACATATCATTTGTTATCCTTTTTTCTAGGCTGCTCCTAAAAATACTGAAAGGAATGGGCAGGCACTTAAAGCTTATATGGCTTTAGAAGGGGGGTTAGACAGATTTAAGGAAGGATAAGTCTATCAGTGGCTTTTATCCATTATCACTAAAGGGCACCTCTGTGTTCAGAGGCAGTAAACGTCTGGATCCCAGTGCCAGGAGGCAACATCAGGGGAAGGCCTCGGCCTCCTGTTTGGTTTAGTGGTTTAGTGCGCGGACTCTAAACTGGGAGGACCGGGTTTGATTCCCCACTCCTCCACTCACAGCTGCTGGATGACCTTGGGCAAGCCATAATTCTGACAAGAGCTGTCCTTGAAAAAGAGCAGTTTCTGTCAGAGCTCTCTCAGCCCCACCCACCTCACAGGCAGTGTTTCCTCTAAGCTGAGTTAGTGTGAGCTAGCTCACAGTTTTTTCGCCTCCGGCTCACACCTTTTTTGTCTTTGCTCAGGAAGGATGGCTCCAGAGCAAACTGATTTATGCAGTAGCCAAATCGCTTGCTCGCAACTTTAATGCCAGTAGCTCACAAAGTAGGATTTTTGCTCATGAGACTCCACAGCTTAGAGGGAGCATTGCTCACAGGGTGTCTGTTGTGGGGAGGGGAAGGGAAGGGAAAGGAGTCTGTAAGATGCTCTGAGACTCCTTTGGGTAGTGAAGGACGGGGTATAAATCCTATCTCCTCCTCCTTCTTCTATGCCCTGCTGTTGGACCTCCGGAGTAACTGGTTGGCCACTGTGTAAGACAGGCTGCTGGACTAGAGGGACCAGTGTCCTGATCCAGCTTTTTCATACCGCGAAAGTTCGGCGAAAGCAATCTCTTTTCGTCTCAGCCTCGATTAAAAATAATGAAATGGCAGTCGGAAACAATGGATTTGTGTAATGACATGGGTCAAATCCTGCCTAACATTTTTGCTTACTGGGAGTGGGTGATTTTCGCTGATTCCTGCCCCCCACTATAGAACTCAGATTCCCTCTTTATGCTATTTCTGGGGGACCCCTGTCGTCTAGGAGGAGCATTTGGTGGGGGCATATCGGTGTCAGGCTCGCCGTGCATTTTGCATTTTACAGCTCGCCTGTCATTGAGAGAGGAGGTTCCTCTCTCTCTCTCTCTCTTTGATGTGCCCGGGGCGTGTCACCTTAGCGATGCCAAATGTCCTGGCTTCTCAAATGTCTGTGATTCTGTTGTCCTTACTATGTAAAGGCTACGTGCCTATGGGGGACGGGGGCAGAGCTGACGGTTAGTTCTGGCGGGCAAATACCGTGGGGAGATTGGGTCCTGATCTTGAGCGCCTTTACTTGAATCCACTAAATCTACAACCTTTGCGCGTTTAACTTCAGTCCTGACAACAGATGTGTCCAGGATGGTATCTATCAACTGTCTCAATAAAGGTAGCTTTCTTCAAGCTGGCTGGTGTTGAGAACTGATTGAACCAGGAACCTGACAATTTGGAAGGTGAGAAAGTCATGGTCCGCTTATAGGTAGGAACTCTCGGTCTGGGGCAAAGGATGCTCTGTATTCTTGGTTCTTGGGGAAGGGGGGAACAGTGGCGGGGGGCTTCTAGTGTCCTGGCCCCACTGCTGGACCTCCTGATGGCACCTGGTATTTTTGGCCACTGTGTGACACACAGTGTTGGACTGGATGGGCCATTGGCCTGATCCAACATTGGCTTCTCTTCTCTTATGTTCTTATTTATTTACTTCATTTATACCCTGCCTTTCTTTCCAGCGGGGACCCCAACTGGCTTACATTGTCTCCTTTCTTCTGTTTTATCCTCACAACAGCCTTGTGAGGTAGATTAGGCTGAGGGTGTGCAGCGAGCTCTAGGTCACCCAACAAGTTTTCGTGGCAGAGCAGGGATTCAAACCCAGGACTCCGAGATCCGAGTCCAGTACCCTAACCAATACACAACATGATATTACTGAACTAGGGGATGATAGTACGCAAACAATCCATTTTTATGGAAAGCCAGCTTGGTTCTAGAACTTATGTCCATCAGAAAGGAGCCGAACATCAGGAGAGTGCAGATCTTGATGCTGGGAGTCGCACGAGCTTGTTCAGAGAAAGAACGTCTGAAGTTCGTTGATTCATGAAGCAGCCTGTCGTCCTTAGATGGTTCTCCGCCTTCATTCTTCTTAGACTGCCTGTGAGCTGGCAGATAAGAAACAGTGGGGATTTGCATTAATTTTCATGAGCTAGAAGGCAGAATCCCACGCCGTAGCTCATTTCCATGTTCCATAACTCCGAGTGTAAATATTTTTTAATGCAAGGGAGAACAGAAGTACAGCAAAAATGGAATTACAGGGCAGAGTTGTTCAATGGGCGGATCCCCGTGGTCTGTCCGTTGATGGAAGTGCTGTGCCGCTACCTGCTGTAGTTTTTTTTTTGCATGTACAAAAGTGTGGATGGAGCAACATTTGTGACACGAAACGCCAAAGGGAATCTTTGTCGTGCTGTGTCTGCCACCAAGAGCTCACTTCAGTCTAATGCAGTCCACCTCCTCTGTGATGGGCATGGCACTCGTCCGGATGTCCATCTCTATGCTCGACTTGGCCCCGTGATACGTAGACCTCCACCGGAGCAACATGATCTTCTTGAAGTACTTCATGGTGTTGTTCTTCACGGTGACGAAGCACATGGTGTTGATCATGCTGTTGCTCATGGCGATGCACTCAACTATGTAGAAAGCCGTCAGGTAGTGCTTCTCCTTCACAAACACCGTGGGGAAAAAGTCACGGACAATCGTGAAGCCGTAGAAAGGTGCCCAGCAGAGGACATAGGCTGTCAGGATGCACATGAGTACCAAAACTGTCTTCCTCCTGCAACGGAGCCTCTTCCTGATTTGTTCCGTCTGGAAGCCCGGCACGGTTTTAAACCAAAGCTCCCGGGAGATCCTGGCGTAGCACAGGGTCATGGTGATGACGGGTCCCACAAATTCGATACCGAAGATGAAGAGGAAGTAGGATTTGTAATAAACTTGCTGGTCTACTGGCCAAATTTGTCCACAGAAAATCTTCTTTTGACTCTGGACCATGAAAAGCACTGTTTCGGTGGCAAAGTATGCTGACGGTATGGCTACGATGAGAGAAATGATCCAGACCAAGGCAATGAGGATGGTAGCTGTTTGGTAGTTCATCCGGGGTTTCAAGGGGTGAACGATGGCAAGATACCTGCGAAAGACAAAGGAGATTTCCAAATCCTTGTTTGCAAAGCTGAGCAATAAAATAGTGGGCAATTCTGCATTGACTTTCCCTGCCATTGTTTTACCAAACCCACACTGGAACAGAAAGGGTGCAGTTCAAAACCACATTCAGATAGCCCAGGGAAACACCCGTTTGACTGTGAAGTCACCCCTGAATGGCCATAAATCTATGCAGAGGGTACCATAGAACCCAATGATCAAAGGAAGTGAAAGCGGCATGCAGTGTAGAGGGTACCATAAAATCCGATGATCAAAGGAAGTGAAAGCAGCATGCAATGCAGAGGGGAATTTCTGTTCCAGTGTGGGTTTGGTAAAACAACGGAGCGAAAAGCCAATGCAGAATCACCCAATGTGTTTCCAAGCTCGTTTTCAGGATACTGAAAAGAACCACTCGTTTAAATTGCCAATCCTCATCTGAAATCTATGATGAGGGAAGACCATTTCTCAATAAAAGGAAGACCCGTGATTGATCATTGAAACTGCTGATGTTGAATCTGCAGCCAGTCATATGGCACTGGAACAATACGAACACATGATGTGGCCTCACGCTGGATAAGACCCTTGGTCTATCACCGAGTTTTTCAGGGTATCTGGCTGTTCAAGAGTCAAGGCTACCTTAGTAACTGAACAAGGGAGCTTTCATTCTGGGAAGTTTATACCCCCAAAATATTTGAGTCTCTGAGGTGCTACTGGACTCAAATCTAGTAGTTCTACTGCAGACCGATATGGCTACCCTCTGAAATTATCTTGGTCTATCGAGATCAGTATTACCTAAACTCACTGGCCGTGATTCTCCAGGATCTTACAGATTGACTCTACCTGATCCTTTCTGAAACTGGAGATGCCTGGTATTGAATTTGGGACCTTCTGCATGTCAAGCAGATGCTCTACTACTGAGCCACAGCCCCAGTGCTAGAGACTCTCACTCAAACCCCCAATATCTGAATCCATGAGCTGTTCTGATGATCAATGTGTATCACCCCATTATAAGATAACGAGAGGCCTTCAGAATACCGTAGGAGACCTCAAAACTATTGAAACTTGGGAATATTTGTGGAAACACTCTATTAAGATATCGGCTTGTACCAATGTCAGAGAGAACTGTTTTAAAATGATGTACAGGTGGTACATGACTCCGAAGAAAATTGCAAATATGAACCAGAATATGTCAAACAAATGTTGGAAATGCAAGAGTCATGAGGGCTCATTTTATCATGTGGACTTGTGAAAAAGCTGTAGACTTTTGGACAAAAGTCCACAATGAAATGCAAAAAATATTGAAATGCTCTTTTAAAAAAGCACCCGAAATTCTGCTTTTGGGTTTGAAAATAGATGAAGTGAACACGACTAAAAAGACTTTACTTTGGTACTTAATAACAACTGCGAGAATGTTGTTTGCACAACTTTGGAAAACAGAGAAAGTACCAGAGATTGAAGATTGGATACAAAAAGTTCTGTTCATGGCTGAAATGGACAAAATCACAAAAAAGTTGAACGGCAAAGAAGACAACGTATTTTTTGAAGAATAAGAAAAATGATATAATTGATGATATATAGTAATGTGGAGGGTAAGGGGGAAGCATTGCGGGAAGCCACAGGAGGGAGGGGAGGAAATGGGTATGGGTGAACAATAGAAAATTGGAAATGGTTAAATGTAAAACTCGTATGGAAAATAATAAAATTTGTTTACCAAAAAAAACACAACCCAGATACCAGCTCATATCAGGCTCATGTAGCCCTGCTGAATTTTCTCTCGCAAGACACCGCCTTATCATTGTGTCCCTAAAATATATTCCCCATGAGCTTCTCTTCAGATTTCCCGGTGGCACTACCAGTTAACACCCTAGCAGGCTGCTTCCCCATGTGTTTATGGCGCTTTGAAGTGTTGTTAATTTAGCAACACTCTTGTTATGTGCAAATATTTTACTGCACTGACAAACTGTGCCCAAAGCTTCCCTGAAATATGAACTGTTTCTCAGTGCTTCACATCTGTACATGTGTCTCGAGCACGCAGATTATCTGGTTGACTGGCTCTATAGATAACAGCGGACTGGCACATTTCTGTATATATACGCCAGCAGTTCTCTTCGAGATAAATGCTTTTAATCAACCGAGGGGAAAACAGTGCACCGCGGGTGTTTGTATACCCAGAACAAGGCAAAAGCATGAGATTTTCATTGAATTCCAATGGATCTTTTGAATTAATGAGCTTGTGGGGAAGAAGGAATCCATATGAACAACAGAATTTAATACTTGCTGTGTGGATTTATGTAAGTAATGTCATTTTAGGCTTACTAGTATTTATTTATTTCCCTCTAACGACAATGGTAAAATGCTTCAGAATTTTGAAGGGAGGTTCCAAGACATGATAGCTTATATACTGGGAATCACAGAGGATTGCTGCATCTGAATATGCTTTATGGATGTCTACATGTATCTTTGAAATGTTAAATCTAGCATGATTCTTGGGGGAAAAAATTGAAATGGATTTAAAAACGGGGGTCCGTCGAGTCAGCTGGCAGAGACACTATTGCACCCTCACAGTCCAAGGACTTTTGAAAGCCCGTTTGGTGTAGTGGTTAAGTGCGCGGCCTCAAATCTGGGAGAGCTGGGTTTGATTCCCCACTCCTCCACCCGCAACTGCTGGATGACCTTGGGCAAGCCATAGTCCTGTCAGGGCTGTTCTTGAAACAGAGCTCTCTCTCAGCCCCACCCACCTCACAGGGTGTCTGTTGTGGGGAGGGGAAGGGAAAGGAGTTTGTAAGCTGCTCTGAGACTCTCTTGGGTAGTGAAGGGTGGGGTGTAAATCCAATCTCTTCTCTTCTTCTTCTTTTTTGAATTTTTAAAAAATTGTTTGTGGGAAAACTCCGCCTGTGAATTTCTACCTGTGTTCGACTTTACCAGTGAATTTCTACCTGTTTGTGGGAAATTTGTTCTGAGTATTTTATATGTCTTACCATTATTAATGGACTGCAAGAAGATCAAATCAGTCAATCCTAAAAGAAATCAACCCTGACTGTTCCCTGGAAGGCCAGATAATGAAACTGAAGCTCAAATACTTTGGCCACCCAATGAGAAGGGAGCACTCCCTGGAGAAGACCCTGATGCTGGGAAAGACTGAAGGTCAAAGAAGACGGGGACGGCAAAGGATGAGATGGTTAGACAGTGTCATCGATGCAACGAACATGAAGTTGAGCCAACTTCAGAGGACGGCGGAAGACCGGAAGGCCTGGCGGGATCTGGTCCATGGGATCGCGAAGAGTCAGACTCGACTGTGCGACTGAACAACAACAGCCATTATTAAATTAATTTATTGTTGGTGTTAAAATTTGGGCCCATGCATCCCCCCCCTTGTTTCCATATATTGCTGGGCCACTGCCTTTCATCTTGTTTCTCAGATCTCGGATGTTAGGCAGGGTCAGCCCCGGTTAGTACTTGGATGGGAGACCACCAAGGAAGTCCAGGGTTGCTACGCGGAGGCAGGCAATGGCAGCCTACCTCTGAACGTCTCTTGCCTTGAAAACCTTCCAGGGTTGCTATAAATTGGCTGCGAGTTGATGGCGCCTTACTCACAGCTTGCTGGTAGAACATGTACTTGATGTGACTAAAGTCCTGGATTTATCCCCTGGTGGTTCCAGCTCATGGTCTGATAGTAAGCGTTGAACAGGGCATATTAGACCGCTGAACAGATTCGCCAAGAGATCTGTGGCATCTAGGGCCACCAAGAAGAGAAGAGATTGGATTTATACCCCACCTGCCTTTACCCGATGGAGTCTCAGAGCATCTTACAATCTCCTTTCCCTTTCTTTTTCCTCCTCACAACAAGACACCCTGGAAGGTAGGTGGGACTGAGAGAGCTCTTTCGAGGACTGCCCTTGAGAGAACAGCTCTGAGAGAACTTGTGAACTGACCCAAAGTCACACCAGCAGATTCATGTGGAGGAGTGGGGGAATCAAACCTGGTTCTCCCAGATTAGAGTCCGTACTCCTAACCACTACAACAAACTGGAGCTCTCCCAGAATTACAGCTAATCTCCAGACAACAGAGATCAGCTGGCCTGGGGAAAAGGGGGGCTTCAGAAGACAAACGCCATGGCAGGGGTCCCTAGTGTGAGGCCTGTGTGGGGCATGGCACCTGTTGACACCTCTCCTGGTGCCTGCCAGGTATTTTTAGAAAGGGATAGGGGCCAACTGGGGCTTTTGCCCAGCAAGGCCTCTGATTGACCACTGGAGATTGCTTTGGCAGCAGCTGTCACCACAGCATAGGGCTGCCAAACCGCAGCGGGGGATCCGTGCGTCGTCGCAGGATCGCTGCCGCGGGGGGACAGCAATCCACGTTGCACCGGCGTCGCCAGGATGTGACGCTACGCGTCGCCCTGGCAACGGGACTCCAAACAGCCCTGTTGCCAGAGCGACGCATAGCGTCACATCCTGGCAACGCCAGTGCAACGCGGATCGCTGTCCCCCCGTGGCAGCGATCCTGCGACGACGCACGGATCCCCTGCCGCGGTTTGGCAGCCCTACCACAGCACAAGGATCTTCACTGTGTGACTGAAATTAAGCTGCAGCAGCCATTTTCTGTCTGGCTTTGCCTCCCCTGGTAGCCATTTCCTGTCTGGCTTTGCCTCCTCTGTTAGCCATTTCCTGTCTGGCTTTGCCTCCTCCGGTAGCCATTTTGTGGCTGCACCCACCTTGCAATGTCAGAATTCCAAAGGTGCCCACAGTCTCAAAAACATTGGGGACCCCAGCTCTGCGGCATCACACCCCTGCTGATTTCTCTCCCCTCCTCAAACTCCACCTACCATAGGCTCCCACCCCCCAATCTTGAGGAATTTCCAAATTAAGGATGCCAGTCCCCTGGTGGGGGCGGGGGATCCCCCAATTTTTGGGCTGCTCCCAGGGGGGAGCCCTGCCCCCAACAGTTGTCTGCGGCCCTGCTTGAAGAGAGCGGGGCCCACACATGCCTGCC